ACCCTAGATCAGGCGGCCAGGAATGTCAACCCGTGACATCCCCTTTCACAGCCGTCCACCATGCGTTTTTGGGCAACATTCTTCGTCTGCACATTTTTCGCCTGCCGACCTTGCCCAGGCAACTAACGCTTGAGCTATTCTCGTACCCTTTTTTGTCGCTGCGTAGTCGGACCTTTTCATGCTCAGCTCTCCAAATGGCCGTGGAGTGGAGATGGATGACTGGCTGGTGGGCTGGCTTGGCCATAGTGACACTCCTCCTTGCCAGGTCGCTCAACACTGCAGCGGCAGAGGGTATTTTTAGAAACATCTTTTTCATACCAAACCAGCAAAGATGGGATCACCGTGAAGCGCCACATCCATGTATTTTGTTGAGAATACAGCCCCCCCTGCTCGGTGGCGCTAGCCCAGTACAAGGGCTTTTGGAGTCTCCATGCACAGCGCACCACCATTTAGCTTGTCAGGCCAGCCAACGTGCGAACCACTGAGTGGCCAGAAGCCAAAGCCACAACGCTTGAAGCCTGGTGTCCCCGCCCCATCGCGACCGTTACTCCTCTCCTATCAACACGATATTACCTGGCACCAGAGCACAGCAGAAATGTTTGTCTATAGAAGACTTCGACCGGATTGTCGAGACATTCGACTCGTACGGTTCATGACCACGCCTGATGCATTACAAGGCAACGGCCGCCTCCAGTTGCAGTTGGCCTCGGTCCGATTGAACGAGGCGCCGTCATATTGTGCTCTCTCCTATGTTTGGGGAGATCCCACGCCAAGATTCTCAATCATCCTCAACGGTCAACAGTTCGAGATAGCGGAGACTCTTCACTTCGCCTTGTCCCAGTTGTCTCATGCAGCGCCTGGTGATGTGTGGTTCTGGATTGACGCCATCTGCATTAACCAAAGCGATCTCGAAGAGAGAAGCTGGCAGGTGGGGCAGATGCGAGACATATTCCAAAGAGCAGAATCGGTCTATGTTTCTCTTGGAGACAGCCACGACGAAAGCGCACTTTTTCTCGCCCTCAGTAATTACCTCGGCCATGACGCAAGGGAGGCTGGCGTTCTTGAGCTGTGGGCCAGTTTCTCTCACGGAGGCCACCGCAAGCTCACATTTCCAGATGACCCAGAAGAACACCCGGCACTTCTATTCCTCTCAAAAGTTCTGGACTACGAAGATCTCCGGGACACACGAGTGCTTAATGCCATGGCATGCCTGCTGGACCGCCCAATCTGGTACCGCGCCTGGGTCGTACAAGAGATTGCCTTAGCCAAGAGCGGTAAAGTTCTTTGCGGGGAGCAGAGCATCGATCTCGATGGCTTCCACGCTACCCTAACCGCTATATACTTCGCCAAGATCGGCGGTTTTGCTCGTCGGCAGCCACAGTGGAACGACTTCGGGTTAGGTCTAAATAACAACCGCTTCCATATCCAGTGTCTTCTTTCCCGTCTACAGCTTCGTCGGGGACAACCTTTCAGCCTTTTGGAGCTTCTCTTGTCAGAGATGAGGGGAGCAGACTATAAAAGACCATTTTACGCGGCTTCGGACCCGAGAGACATTATATTCGCCCTTTTAGGTGTCGCCGCTGACGCGGACGTGTTGGGTATACGGCCGGATTATCGTCAGCCTACCGAACTAGTTTACACCGAAGCTACAAAGGCAATGATAAAACACTGCCCCCATTACAGGCTGGAGTATTGCACGTTTCCAAAAGATACACCTCACCTGCCGTCTTGGGTACCAGACTGGGAGCGTATCGGCCGCTTGGGAGTCCAGGTCCCCCCCTTGAGCTACCGGGATTATTTCCACGCATCACGAGGCAGAACACAACCCTGTACTGCGGAAGCAAGCGGTCTTACGCTATGGCGAAGAGGCATAGTGATTGACTCTATTGCTAAAGTCTTCACTTTTGACGAGTCAACTATTGCTGAACAGGATTGTCGTGTCAACGGTATGGACCTCGCGACTATGTTGGAATCCAAAACCGGCAGGCCGAAGTTTCTGAAAGCGTTGTTGGATTTTATAAAGCCGTATTGCAAAGACAATTCGTCGGAGTCAAACTTGTGGCGGGTTATGTTGAGCGGGCTAATGGGTAGTGAGAAACAGACGTCGGAATTCGACGCCCTAGCCTTTCGAGCATTTCGTCAGGAAGCAGTTGCCGCTAATTCCATTGACGAGGCGCAACTGGGCTATATATTAAGGAACTCACGCCCGTACCCGCACGAGCTTGAACAAGACGAGGATATACAGACGCTTGTGGACGACTTTTGTGATAGAATTGTAACTAATGTGGCCGTGGGGGCCCGTGGACGGGCACTACTTGTGACCGTTCACGGAGCGCTCGGTCTAGGCCCTTACACGGTGCGTGAAGAAGATGTAGTCACGATCCTGTTTGGCACGCAAGTGCCCATAGTTTTGCGACCCGCTGGAGCCACATACACGTACGTAGGAGATGCTTACATTGAGGGCTCAATGAAGGGCGAGCGTATGGCGGAAGAGTTTGAGGAGCTAGATTTTGAAATTAGTTAAATTTCTTGATAGGCTGAGACAATTCAATAGGTGCGGAAAGTGTGACTAATGACTCAGACTTAAATACTCAGGCACCAACTATAACACCTGCTCCCATGGCGGCGTACCCAGCCGATTTCTCCACAATCGCCCGCCTCTAAACTCACTAGAATTCGATATGCCGAGTGCCAGATCTGCCAGAGAATATTGGGCGATGATAGAGGAGTTGACCAGCACTTTCGAGCCAAACACCCACGTTGTTACTGCATACGATGCCGACGGCGCTTCCATCTCCGCACGCGAAGAAACAGCATGTTGCTGACTCTTCACAGCACAATATCTGCAACGAGTGTTCCCGCAGGCCCGACTTCGCCTCGGCTGACGAACTAGACGAGCACGCTGAGGCTAGGCATTCCTTTAGCGCGTCTTGCCAGTGCAATTTCGATACTATAAGACAGCTTTTGCAACACAATGCGGCGAAACACAATAGGTGTCAGATTGCAGAGAGTACTTTGACTCTGTCTCGAATCTATTCCATGTAGCTCTCATACTACCCGTCATCCACCGGTCTGTCACTAATCTTTCAGCAGCATATGAAATCCCACGCTAGCAAGACCATCAAATGTCCAAGATGTTCGCAATTCTTTTCATCGCACTCGGCGATGGTTCTCCACCTGGAGGCTGGAACCTGCGCGTCAGCTGTAGATAGCGACCGGATAAAGGAGATTGCCCTCGATTGCCACGACTGTATTCTCTACACCCACTACGACGACGCCGAGTTTATTTAAATACATGAGCGCCCTCCTGCAGCATGCCGAGAGCAGGAGTTGTGGAGTGCGCATGTCTGAGAATAAACCGCTGAGAAATTTCACGCGTTTCCTCATGGAACAGCATGGCGGAGACTGGTTGTATCGGCACACCTGGTAGACAAGGATGGCAAATCGGCGCATACCTATTTAGCGCCATGCAGACGCGACATTTGGTTGTCTGCAGACCCGCTGGGCAAAGGCGTCAACTCACTGACGTGTGGCCCGTCAATGATCTAGGTACGGTCGGGTTTCTACGCTCAACATAGATAGGTCGCGGAAGGCCTTTATGGCTACTTGCGAAGCATGCGGGGATGGTTCAGAGGACAGCCAGTAGAGACAAGGGCAGAAAAGCAATATTCTGCGAAGTGGCGAGAATCTACTAAAAATGGAGTCATTGGCCATACTTCGCGGCCGAAGGATATTTTTTGTTTCGAAAATGGAACAGAGCTTAACAGTTCACGTTGGCCAGCTACTCGACCTACTATGGCAGCGAAAACCCGGGCGGATACACAGAACAATATTGATCAGCCGCAGCATCGGAAATTGATTAATGCTAGCTGTTACTCTTCTCCATCGTTGGATAGCTCTATACTGTTCTGGCAAGTTCGTGCGTTATGGCCAGGCCGGCCGCACCTACGACATTGCCGACCCTTTGTCTCATCCCTTGGCTTTCTACAACTTCTTTTGTTGCTCTTGACGATAGGTTTGCCCTGGCCCTGCTTCATAGACCCCTTACGGCCGGTTTCTGCGCCGTGTTTCATGCATAGATCCCAGTCAAACTGGAACTGGAACGTTGCCTTGCCATCCATAATTGTTCGTCGAAGAATTACATCCTGCAAGGTCCATTCATCAAACACCGCATCGATAGGCTTTTCCATGTTGTGTGCATCATCTGATGTGGGAGAGATCAGCTGTAATCCCTGATCTAATCCCGCCGATTCGCGCTGATTAATTTCCTGAATTCGCGACTTGGTTTTCGCCGACACGGATCGGGATTTGTGGCGCTTGCGGGGCGACTGGTTTTTGTCACTGAAATGACGGTCGCTGTCGGTTTCCAATTCGTCACATGTCGGTGGGCAGTACTCCGGGTCATCCGACGCTCTGGCCGACCCTTCCACTTCATGCTTCTCTGTATCGTGGTCCGCTGATGGTTCCCTTAGCCGCTTGTTCTGTAGTTGTGAACACATGCGGCTCGTGAGGGGCTTGACCGTCATAGCATTGCCATCAGTACATTCGAATGCTTTTGGCTCGTAGACAGAGTTCTCCGATGTGGTCGTCTCCGTACACTTTTCATTTTCAGTCTCAACTGTGCCTTCATGAGCAGCCGACATGGAAGTAGGACTGATCTGCGTAGAAACAATATCCCGGGACTGAGATCCAAGCGAAGGGCTCATGGCTCGCGAAATAGCTGGCATTGGGGTGGGCATGGATGCAGTGTTTTGAGAGGTCGATGGAGAAACAACAGTTGAGCAGCCCGCCAGCTCAGCAGAGGATAACCCGGCGCTCTGATTGGCTTGTGTTTCGCCAGGCGTGGGAAGAAGCGGTCGGGGAGTCACTTCGCGCTTGTCTTGGTATTTTGACGTCTGGTCACAGTCATGAGCTAGAAATGATACGATTAGTGATGCTCGACTCAACAGTAGCATGCAAGCACCTAGGCCACTTACTGGTAGTGCTTATGTTTCCGGTGTCTTCTAGAGACTGCACGACGGTTTGAACTAACGGCGGCGATGTAGCGCATCGTTCGTGGGATAACGCATCGGCCCTGTCTGAGGTTGTGTCGTCGGAAACGTGGATAACGTCGTCTGTGCTTGACGGCAACCTTTGCGACGGACCAGGCGATGCTTCGGGTGTTATGTCAACCCCGGTACGGTCGTGATCCGGAGGTGAGGGCATCGGCTGTGGCTGTGATATAGATGAAAGGGAATGCAATTGGCTATCGACACGCCGCGGCATCTCAGATGTGGACGTCGTTTTCGCGCCTTCGCCATTTGCCGACATAGAAGTACAGCGTGTCTGTGGGGACGCAGCATCCGAGAGCGAAGATTCGCACGACGGGCTACTAGTTCGCGATCTAGCGAACAGCGAAGTGGTCGTGGATGTACGTAGTCGAGATGTTGAGGCTGAAACACCGGTTGGGCACTCGACGGCTACTTCAACAGATAGCCTGGGTCTGTCATTGGTTTTTTCATGCTCGAACGACGGGGAAGAAGCCGACCGTCGGGCTGCCTCGTGCTCGCCCTTGTGCTGTGACGTTTGATCACAGCCATAAACTGGCGTGCCACACGGTCAGCGGTGGCGGTCGTTGATCGGCCACGCAATGGATGCCTCTTACCTGTACTGCCAATTTTTCCAGCGTCTTTCAGAGACTGCACGATGGCCTGGACAGACAGCAGCGTTTCATCAAATGGTTCGTGAGACGCGTCGTCCATGTCCGAAGCTGCGTCGTCGGAAATATAGATGAAGTCGTCTCTGCTTGACGCCAGCCTTGGCGACAAGGCAAGCGATTCTTTCGGCACGCCAAGTATGCCACGGTCATCATTCGAAAGCAGCGGCGAGGACTTCGACTGTGGCACAGCTGGGCGAAAATGCGGTTCACCCTCGACGCACTGCGGTCTCGACTGTGGCCGTGGTGCCCAAAAGGTCTGATGATCGAGGTTGACTTGAATGGCCATGTTTTGTGATGCAGTAAATGGAGAGACGTCGCTCTCCAGCTCTGGTACTTGATGCCAAGAGACGCCGGAGGTGCAAGCGACGAGAGGAAGTGAGAAATAGCGTGCAGACTAGGGAAGCCTAATACAAAGATTTGTGCGCAAGATGCACCTTTTATAGTTTGAGGCTTGCTAGTACACCGCCACTGCCGCCCGCCCTTGTTTCGTTCAACAGGCCATGCAGACAAAGAGCACACTTTCATCCGTCTTCCATCTCGATTTCCACCTGAACCACGGCAACCGCGCCAGGAACTTAAGCCCCTCGGGTACTCCCGGGCCAACTGGAACAACACGCGATTTCGTGCAGAATGAAGCAGCTGGCACGTGCCAGCCAGTCACATAGCCTGCCTCTTACGTCGCCGACGTAAGATGTGTAAACTATCGTATCCATCGACCGGTCGCGACCGCAATGCCACGTCATCCGTGTCGTCTTGCATCCATCCAAATGCAACGCCCGGCGCACATCACCTGGGCTGAGCAAGGCATAGACCCTATGCTTTTGCGCGGCAGCAATCTGATTGGGCCGTGGGCTGCGAAATATGGTGCTCGGTCGGGACAGAGGAGACGGAGAAGAACAAGGCCAATCTCCCAAACCGAAATGTGTCCGAGGCCGAGACCAAATCACCTGCATGTGCCACCTTGGGGTGCGTCACGCAAGTTCAGCTCCGTGGATTCTCGTATTCACGGATATGACACGTCAGACAGGCTGTGTCGGAGGCCTCCGAAGGTACTGCAATCGAATGTCCATGGTTGCTGTTGTCCGAGCGTGTCACGGGCGACAGTCGGTCTGTGATCGTGAGGGTAAGGATGAATCTGTCCGCTTGAAAATGATTGCTGTCGACAGCCATTAGCCTTCACGCAGCGCCAGAGAAGAAATACTGTATTTTCGGCCAGGAAAGCGCGCTGGACGGTTGCGACACCTGCTCACAAATGGCAAGCGTGTACGGCGACGCGGCGGACGCCGCAGGCTCAAGTCGAAATTAAGGGGGAACAAACAGCGCGAGCGGGTTCTTGTGTATCCTGGTCGGGTGGCAGGGCGCAATCAAGACGTGCATGCTGGAAAGAAGGCCATGAAGGGGTGTGGAAAGAAGAAAAGTTGAGGAAACCGGCATGGACAAAGAGGTGGGCAGGAGGGGGACTTTATAGCGGGCGCGCAAAGCGGCGAGGCGCTAGCCGGGGCTTCGT